CTACCCTGCCCCACCGCGCCCGCGGAGCTATCGTGTATCGAAGCAGAAGCGTACTATCGTTTAGAGATAGCTCCGAAAAGCTCGTTGTGAAAGGAGCCCCCCCCCCCCTCCTCAAGCTTTGGCCCGGCCCGACGACGGCTGTCCCTACATCATGTAGGTCTGGTCGTCTTCTGTCACTAACGGGGAATGACCCCGTTATTACTGTAACTTTTGAACGACACCAGCTAGTCTCGGTGCAAATATAATTTGGGAAAGCGGGAAAGTTACAGGTCGGCGGCTCACCTGTTGCAGGTGGCTTCAAGGGCGACCTGGAGGTGTGGACGCGCCTGCTGCTGCCCATGGTGGAAAAGCGCATCTACAACCTGCAGAGCAAGCAGCTCGTCAAGCTCTTCAGCAAGATCTTCGAAACGGACGAAGACGCCATGCTGGAGGACCTGACGCAGGGCGACGTCGCCGAGACCATCAAGATCTTCTTCGACCAGTCAAAGTCGTTCAAGCCGACCGGCAAGAGCAACATCCTGATCGCCGAGGTTTGAGTTTATTATTCAACATAAAACGTATTATGGAATTCATAAAAATAAATAGATTGAATATTAAATAATAAAACATTTGAGTAAATGTTCTAAACTTTAACACCAGGTGGACGAGTTTCTCGAGAAGCTGGCGACTATGACTCGCGAGGAGGAGCAGTCCTACCACCTCAAGCAGGTGGCCAAGAAGTAAGTCGATGCAAAGAAAGACACGTGGATGGACAGTAAGGGTGCCTTAGGGACGAAACGTAGTATACTAAACTCTCTGTTCCAGGTGTACGTCAAACGACCTGAAGATGATCATCCGCCTCGTGAAACACGACCTCCGGATCAACGCGGGGCCCAAGCACATGTGAGTATTCCTCTCTTTTTGGACAACGCGCTGCTCGCACCCCTCGAAAATTGGGCAGTCGCACCGGAAAAGAGTAGTTGCCGGGCCGTGTCGGGTGGCTCTTCGGCAGCCAGCGCGTCCCGGTCGCCCTAACGACATGGGTGCCTCTTTGAAGTCGGAGCGGCCGCGGCAAGGTCACGGCCGGGGTGGCCCTGGGGGTCCGGCCTGGAGGGACGGTCCGCGCGCGTGCGAGTCTAGAGTCCGGCTCCATCCACGTGCAGCCTCTGCTGAGGTACAGGCCCATCTTGCCTAGGGTTCTGTTGGGTCCAGGTCCATGCACGGGTCTTGGTCCGGGTCCGCAGCAGGTCTACCTCGACTTGGGGATAGTTCGGGTTCATCTTGCCAAGGGTCTTGGACCGGGTCCATATGGGCCGGCCCCGACCTATGCCGATGGTTCGGGTCCGTCTTGGTGGAGAGTCCGCCGGGTCCAGCCTTTCGGCGGTCTTGGCGGTCTTATTGGAGCTCGGCGATGGTCCACTTGGCGCGGCCTTACGGGTCGCTGCAGCTCCGCGTGGCCGCCGCACACGGACGTCACCCTTGACGTCAAGGAACGCTGCACCGGCTGGGGGCGGCGCGCCGACGACGACCACTTCCACGTGCGGCATCCGCGAGGGGGTGAAGGGGCAGGAGCAAAAGAGGCGGGAGGAAGGCGCGTTCGGCAGTCATTCGAGAAAACACGGTGGGAAAAAAGAAAATAAGTGCATCGCATCAAATTGGATAATGTCTCGCTGCCGTCAGTCGGCTGTCGACGTGGGCTCATCAGAGCGATGCTCTGCTGCTGCTGCTGCTGCTGCTGCTGCTGCTGCTGCTGCTGCTGCTGCTGCTGCTGCTGCTGCTGCTGCTCCTGCTGTCAGTGCTTTCAATGCACTTCGTGGCGAGATGATAGGGCGTCTCGTCCGATACCTCTACGACAAGCCCACCAACTATCTCTTTCTCTACGACAAGCCCACCAACTATCTCTTTCTTTACCTGCCTCTTTCCCCCTTTTCCCTACTTTGGCACAAAAGGCTCAAACTTTGGGAGATTTGTACAGAAACCCGTACTATGTATATACCTTCTCAGTAACCGTAAGAGTACGGCATGAATGGTACAGTGCATGAGGTTTACTTTTTTAATCAATGACGAAAACTTTGTCAAAAGGTAAATTTGCAGTTTATTGTTAACATTTACAAGTAAAAGAGGGTATCATCCCGGTCTGCGAAGCAGTATCAGCCATACCATAGGTTGGTGTGTGTGAGATGGTCCAGGCTTCTGTACGCTGCAGTCTTATTCTTTCCTAGGAAAAAAAAGGGGTGCTGATTTCAGGAAAAACAACAAAAGTAAACAATGGTCTGTTCTGCAACGCGCCCCAAATGGAGAGGGGCTGCGCGTGCCGTGGTGGGATACCGAAAAAGAGGGGAAAGAGAGAGCGGAAAAAAGGCGAATGACGCTCGATTTGGGCGAAAACTTGATGCCAAGCTGGGTGTCGTACGACAACCTTGTCGATTCGATAACCTATTGGACGCGCGTTGCAAATTCCCTTATCGCGGCATCGGGCGCCGAGGCGACGCCCGCCCCGCGATAGGCGGAACCGTCCGCGAGGCGTTTTTCTCGAAAAAACAAAAGTGCTACTTGGAACGGAACGGCTCGGTGCGGCGTATGTCCTATGCGCTGCCGTCAGGGCAAGTGTCCCTGTCGGGCTCGACTCACGCCAACGCCAACCCCCTCTCCTGAAGGGCCGCGAGCCGCTGGCGGTACAAAGGGTAACATGCGACTGCCAGAAGGCAACAAAGTTCCGCGCTTCTCGGTGATAATTTGCGCTCCAATCTCACATTTGACCCAAATCTGCTTCCCTGCTCTCTTTTTTTGTTCTTCCTCTATCTCTCTCTCTCTCCCTCTTCCCTGCTCACGCACCCGTCCGTTTATCTCTATGTTACGCGGCCGGAGGTGTGTCCCCCGCCGCTTAGTTGGAGTGGCGCTGTGGCAATGGCCGCACTGTGAAAAATAATCTTAGGTGTTACAGGAAAATTTTCTAGACGAAATTTTTCCCCCTATCTAGAAATTGCAACAATTTCAAAAATTGTTAACTTTCGATAAACAAAATTACTTTATATCCTGTAGATTTGTTCGCCGAGGAAGACTTTGCATTCGTAAAATTGTAAATGTGATATCAATGAAAAATATGGCGCGCATTGGATTCCATGTCTATGATTTGCACAACAACAAAATTACTGGGTTGGTTTTCTACTGCAGGAAAAATTCCGGAAAAAGGCAGACTCGAGTACTTTAGAAGCAATATCCATACAAGAGATCATCCAGAAAGTACGCGCCTCTCATTCGCCGTACGAGTCGGCCAAGTCCAAAACATCTGCAAGCTCTCATAGCGCCTGTTAGGTAGGCAACATCTTGTCTGCAGTGCATGCGGGTACCGCGGGACGGCCTACCCCGAGTCTCGCAGGCGCCGAGCCCCTAAGGATTTGATGAATAAATTTGAGTAAAACGGACGTACTTTCTGAGGGCGATCTCCCTGATGCGCCCGAGGGTAACAACGGCCATGAGCTATGCAGAAAAATGGTTTGAGGACTCGACGAGGCACACAACCTAAGGAAGCCCAAGTGTGTGAAATTCGCACACTTGTTGGCATGTGAATTTCTATTCGGACACGCACAGGTGCAAGTCTGCAATTCTCCAATGGAAATTTAACCCTTTTTATCTGAACAAGTGCAGTGTGCGGGCTATGGGATCCACACAGTTAAAACCTTACAAAGCAAAATGCCAAATCCTTTGTACCTTCGTACCTACGAAGGATTTGCTACGAAGCTTCCAAATCCTTCGTACCTACAAAGGCATTTTTCTTCGTAAGGTTTTAACAGTGCACACACCACACACCTACAAGTGTGCTACATTCACACACTTGTGATTTCTACTATATGTGCATGCACAAGCTTTCGCGTTTGATCTACTCAACTATCAATGCGGTCGGAAAGGAACGTGACTGCGGTCGGGCGAGGCCGACCCCCACCAACACAATTAGGGGGAACGACCACCAGTAAGTAACTCGTGTCTTTGTGTGTGTGTGTGTGGGGGGGGGGGGGGTCACACCACCAGAGACGCGTAAAATATATGAATCCTTATCTTTGTATTTTTCGGTGCCTTCCATTTGTCGCGTCTTGCGAAATGAAAGCGAGGAAAACGAGGATCACGGGAATTGGGAATTGGGGGACTAAAGGCGACAGTAAAGGGGGTGTGACGGACCGGCGGTCACGGTCACGGAGACGCTTTCAGGGGCCTGGCTCCACTAAACAAACACACACACAGAGCGAGTGAGTGTAAGAGAGAGACCATGAGCTGCGGCTGACCCCTCCCCTGTGACCCCGCGGTGCATCTCTGTACAACTGCGCCGCATGTGATTCTTCAGGCGCCGCTCCGTGGCTCCCCACGCACAGAGCCAACTGCGCAGCCCGTGGCCCTGCACGCCGTGACCGCAGGCCCGGTCCAGAGACAGAGAGAGAGAGAGCCGAGGGGGCTATTGGTGGTCGCCCTGCTCGTCTTCTCTGACCGGTCTGTCCCCCCACCCCCCCCCGTGCCC